GAGACTCCAACTCAAAAAAAAAAAAAAAAAATTCCTGTGCTCAGGCAGTCCTTCCACCATGGCCTCCCTAAGTGCTGGGATTGCAGGCATGAACCACCATGTCCAGCCCATTTTCTTTCTTTCTTTTTTTTTTTTGAGTTGGAGTCTCACTCTGGCGCCCAGACTAGAATGTAGTGGCTGCTCCCAGCCACCGCAGCCTCGACCTGCTGGGCTCCGGCGATCCTTCCACCTCAGCCTTCCGAGTAGCCGGAACTACAGGCATGCGCTACCACGCCCGGCTGATTTTTTGATTTATTGTAGAGATGAGGTCTTGCTGCCCAGGCGGGTCTCGAACCCACGGGCTCAGGCAATCCACTCACCTCAGCCTCCCAAAGGCGCGGGATTACAGGCTTAGCCACCGAGCCCTGCTCTTTCTTTTTTTTTTTCTTTGTGTTGGAGTCTCACTCCATCACCCATACTGGAGTGAGATGCTCACAGCCAGCCCTGCCTCAACCTGCTGGACTCCAGCGATCCTTCCGTCTCAGCCTTCCAAGTAGCTGGAATTACAAGTGTGCTACCATGCCCAGCTACTTTTTGGTCTCTTGTAGAGACAAGGTCTCACCAAGTTGCCTGGGCGATCTTGAACCCGTGGGCTCAGGCAATCCACTCGCCTCGGCCTCCCAAAGTACTGGGATTACAGGCTGACCACTGAGCCCAGCCCTATTTTCTTTTTTTTTAACAGTTTCTCCATTACTTTTTTTTTCTTCCTAGATTTGGGAGTTCCCCACAAAGAGATCCAAACTGGAATGGTGAGCGGCCAAGCAAGTCCCATCGTCACCAGGGTCCTGGGGGTACCCTACCACCAAGGACATTTATTAACAGGAATGCTGCAGGTACTGGCCGCATGTCTGCACCTAGGAATTATTCCCGATCTGGGGGCTTCAAGGAAGGTCGTGCTGGTTTTAGGCCTGTGGAGGCTGGTGGGCAGCATGGTGGCCGGTCTGGTGAGACTGTTAAACATGAGACTGGTTACCGGTCACGACGCCTGGAGCAAACTCCTGTGCGGGATCCATCTCCAGAAGCAGATGCTCCAGTGCTTGGCAGTCCTGAGAAGGAAGAGGCAGCCTCAGAGACACCAGCTGCTGCTCCTGACACCGCACCGCCAGCCCCTGACAGGCCCATTGAGAAGAAATCCTATTCCCGGGCAAGAAGAACCCGAACTAAAGTTGGAGATGCAGTCAAGGTTGCAGAAGAGGTGCCCCCTCTACCTGAAGGGTCAACCCCAGCACCTCCAGTCCCAGAAGCCACACCTCCTCCACCTACTAAGACTGGGAACTGGGAGACACCAGTGGATTCTGCTACAGGTGGACTTGAGCAAGACATGGCACAGCTAAATATAGCGGAACAGAATTGGAGTCCAGGGCAACCTTCTTTCCTGCAGCCACGGGAGCTTCGAGGTAGGTATATTAAGGTTGGTGGTTAGTTTTTTTTTCACTTTGCATCGTCAGGTTTAGAGGCATGGCACTTATTTCTCTCAGGAATGTGTGGCTGACAAATATCTACCTTCTGACTGAGAGAAAAAGATGGATTCATAGGTATATTCATCCAGCTCTCCGAGTAGTTTTATGTTATCCAAGACTATCATCCTACTACTTTGCCTGCTAATAACTAATCAGTCATCACTGAGCCTCCTGAGTCTAGAATCCTTTCCCACTCTCTATAGGAAAAGTGGGAGGAGCCAGTGTTCTTACTATTTGAGCTAATGGTTAAATGTTTGGAGGCAGTTTCTCTTAATTTCCCTAATTTTCTAGAGACAGACTGCTCAACAGAAATTTTTGTAATGATAGTGCTTTTGTGGAATTTTTGTGTGTTTTCTGGGGGTCTTTTTTTTTTTTTTTTTTTTGAGTTGGAGTCTCACTCGGTCACCCAGATGGCCACTGCAGCCTCGCCTTGCTGGGCTCCAGCGATCCTTCCACCTCAGCCTTCCGAGTAGCCGGAATTACAGGCATGTGCTACCATGCCCAGCTGATTTTTTTTATTTATTGTAGAGATGAGGTCTCGCTGCCCAGGCGGGTCTCGAACTCGTGGGCTTAGGCAATGCACTCACCTCCGCCTCCCAAAGGTGCAGGATTACAGGCTGAGCCACCGAGCCCGGCTTGGGATCTTTTTTTGTTTGTTTGTTTGTTTGAGTTGGAGTCTCACTCTGTCACTCAGGCTGGAGGGCAGTGGCACGCTCCCGGCCACCACAGCCTCAACCTGCTGGGCTCTGGCGATCCTTCTGCTTCAGTCTTCCAAGTAGCTGGAACTACAGGCGAGCGCTACCATGCCCGGCTAATTTTTGATTTATTGTGGAGATGAGGTCTTGCCAAGTTGCCCGGACGGGTCTCAAACCCGCGGGCTCAGACAATCCACTCACCTCAGCCTCCCAAAGCGTGGGATTACAGGCTGAGCCACCGAGCCTGGCTTTTTGTTTTTTGTTTTTTGAGTTGGAGTCTCACTCCGTCGCCCAGACTGGAGTGCAGTGGCCGCTCCCGACCACTGCAGCCTCGAACTGCTGGGCTCCGGCAATCCTTCCGCCTCAGCCTTCCGAGTAACTGGAACTACAGGCAGGCGCTACCATGCCCGGCTGATTTTTTGATTTATTGTAGAGATGAGGTCTCACCCGCCGGCTCAGGCAGTCCACTCACCTCAGCCTCCCAAAGTGCTGGAATTACAGGCTGAGCCACCGAGCCCGGCTCAGAATTTTTTTTAAGAGATGAGATTTCATTATGTTCCCAGGCTGATCTTGAACTCCTGGGCTTAAGTGATTCTCTTGCCTTAGCCTCCTAAGTAGGTGGGATTATAGGTGTGTGCCACTATGTCTAGTTTATGGTGCTTTTTAGTACTTGAAATGTGACCAGAATGAGGAACTGAACTTTGATTAAATCAAAATTTAAATGATCACATGTGGCTGTGGGTATTATACTGGACAACATGACTTTAGAGAGTAGGTCCTACCTGCCATCCCTTTGTCCCATTCTGCTTTGTCATCCTCTGATCAGATAATCAAATAGTCTTTCCTTAGTTTCTGGAAAAAAAAAATTTTTTTTTTTGAGTCAAAGTCTTATTCTGTTACCCTGGCTGGAATACAGTGGCACGCTCAAGGCCCCCCACAGCCTCAACCTGCTGGGCTCAGGTGCTCCTCCTGCTTCAGCCTTCCAAATAGCTGTAACTACAGGCATGTGCCACCATGCCCAGCTAATTTTTCTTGATTTATTGTAGAAATGAGGTCTCACCAAGCTGCCCAGACTAGTCTCGAACCCCTGGGCTCAGGCAATCCTCTCACCTCAGCCTCCCAAAGTGTTGGGATTATAGGTGTGAGCCATGGTGCCTGGCCTAGTTTCTGACATCCTACTTAAAGATTGGAAATCTTCACTCGGAATTTCAGCACTCTTCTCTGGTATGGGTGGGTTTTTCTTTTTGTTGTTGTTGTTCTTTTTTGAGTTGGAGTTTCACTCTGTTGCCCAGACTGGAGTGCAGTGGCCGCTCCCAGCCACCGCAGCCTCGACCTGCTGGGGTCCGGCGATCCTTCCGCCTCAGCCTTCCAAGTAGCTGGAACTACAGGCGTGCACTACCACGCCCAGCTAATTTCTT